CAGTTCTGAAAGTGAGAAATGTCATACATACCATATATTACATACAGACTTTTATTAAAGATTACAACAAAGATGTCAAAATATTAAGAGATGACATTTAGTAAGGGATATTCACACCCCCACACACTGTAATTTTAGTGTTAAAACATTGCATTAATTTTGAAAATGCCTTCATACTAAATTATACACATTTGAGATTTTTTTCATTAAGATTATTTCCCTTCAAAGGTTGGGGGAGGGAGCACGGAAGGACACAGGATGATGGCGGGGCAGACAGAAACCTCTTTCACACTGATGCCTGTTTTCCTGCAAGAATGAAAACTTTATTAAGGGAACTGACAAAAAAAGAAAAAGAAAAACAAAACACTAAGGAGGTTATATCTGTCTGTCTGTTTGAGAGAGGGAAAGAGACTAAAGGGCCCAAAACTCCTAAACTCTGATATTAATGATTACCATGATGATTTCTATATAAAGAAGTTATTACACACAACCTTTCCTGTTTGCTAAGGCAAAACTGAATTCAGTACCTTGTTCATAGCAGATATGGGCAACCATCCATTCTGCCTTTGGGCTAGATCCAGGACTGGAAGCACAGCTGCTGCTTTATGCCCTTCTGGGTAGTTTTTCACTATTGCCTCTATCCTCTGTAAAAGGAAAATGCCTTTTACACCGATGAAAACAATTGAGTACTTGATAAATCACTTATATTGTTTACTTAATCATACCTTATAGTTTTCTGGTGTGAAATCAAATGGAGTATCTGGGTTATTCTCAGGAGTATCTCTATGCTAAACACACACACAAATAAAAACAAGATTAATAAAGATTAATAAATCCCAAAAAATAGCTATCCAGTTTCACTAGGAATGGGCTATCAAATATAAACTGGCAGCCCTATGTAATTAAGACACAAAATTGTACATATAGGCTGGAGAGATGGCTTAGAGTTTAGAAAAGCCTGCTGCTAATGCAGAGGGTTGAAGTTCAGTTCCTAGCAGCCATACTTGGCAACTTATAACTCCTAACTCCAGTTCCAGGGTATCCAGTGGTCCCTTCTGGTCTCTAAGGGTACCTGTACCACAAAGAAACCCTTTCTCAAAAAACCAAAAATAGAAAGAAAAAAAAAACCCACAGAAATCTCTGTGAGTTCAAGGCCAACCTCCTCTATATACCAAGTTCTGGGACAGCCAGCAACACAGATAGCAAGTGCTCTTAACCTCTGAGCTTTTTCTCCCACTCAAAACACCAAAACCTTACTTTATTCTTGTGTTTTTGGCATATATTGGCCATTGTAGAAATTTAAATATAGCTTGTAAAATGATGTTTGGTTCTAGCTGACCCTCTCAAATAGAAACTAACACCTGGGAACCTAAGAGAATCTAGGAATAAGAATTTGGGTTATTGTTTAGTAAAGTTACTATGACCACCTAACATGGTGGTCAGACTCCATGGTCTTAAAAGTCAGTCATGTTGGCTGGCTGAAGGGAACAAGGTTATAACTTGAGAAATTCCTAAAGGGTATTTGTTTGAAATAGTAATATAGCCAGGGCATTCCTATGTAATAAATAGATTACTTTACTGAGCAGTCGGCCTCCATGTTTTTGGCTTCACATTTTTAACTCTAGGTGGTCTCTATAAGCACCTCAGTTTTGGTGTACAAATCAGAAAGCTTTAGATGCTGTGTGTGTTTATCTTGATATGAGCAGTTTTTAGGACTCAGGCTTGGTTTCCAGCAACCACATGGCGGCTCAAGCTGCCCATAACACCAGTTCCTAAGGATCTAACAGTATCTTATAACCTTCTCCAGCTTCTGCATGGACACAGTGCATATGCATGCTCTTAGTCACACACAAAATTAAAACAGAGATTTAAAGCTTTTGCATTCAATCCTGCACACTCTAGGCCACAAGAGTGGTAACATACCCCACAATTTAAGATATTACAGTAGACTCACTCAAATTTCCAAGTCTTTCCATTATGAGGAATTTTGATTACTTACCACAAATAAGGCTCCTCCGGCCCCATTTTGCACAGCTGTCTTATGCAAATTCCTTGTATGTCTTCCCTGAAGTTAAAAAATTAAGAAAACTTACTTACAAATTTTAAGAAAATTTTTATGAACTACTTGAAGAGTCATAACTTAAAGCAAAGGAATCAAGTTATTTCAGGAATCATCTTGGGAGGTTTGTACCCGTGCCCGTCTCCTTAAAAAGGCTCAAGAAATGGCTAGGCACATTATTAGCTCACTTGTGGAGTCAGTGCAAGAACTGACCAAAACTCAAACCAGAGCTGAACACAGCTGTCCTGTTCACACTATGCTCCTTTAGGCTGGCATGCAATACTGAGAATTAACTGGCTGTCTTTCTTTCCCTTTGGCTGAATCGACAAGATGGTAAAGTTTTGTTTGTTCCGAGACAGGGTCTCACTGCGTAGTCCTGTTGCCTTG